GCTGCTGCTACCACTACTACTACTGCGAGATTCTGCATAGTGTTTGTGCTGGAGTGGGACAGCTGTACTTGGCAGGTGAGTTGGCATCCACTTGTACATAATTGATGCCGATTGTACTTGCTCCTTGCGTACGTGACTTATATGTGTGTGTCAGGTCATTGGAAGCCCGAATTGGTTTCTGTTGCCTGAGTGTCGTAGTACCTGCATTTGCGGAGTCGCCAGACGCTGCCACGCGGGAGCCAAACTACTACTGCTACTGCTACTGCTACTGCTACTGCTACTGCTACTGCTACTGCTACTGCTACTGCTACTGCTGCTACTACTACTACTACTACTACTACCACTACTACTACTGCTAGTAGTACCACCACCACCACCACCACCACCACCACGACTACTACTACTACTACTACTACTACTCCTGCTGCTACTACTACTACAGGTGGGTGACAAACAACCACTACTGCTACTACTACTGCTACTACTGCTACTGCTACTCGTGCTTCTATAGATGATGATCAGTATCCTGACCTTGTCCTTGCTGGAGTGCTGGACATTGCCGATTTTATAGGGTTGCAGGCATCAGTTCTTTCTTTTTTGGTCATAGCACAGGAGCGCTTTTGGCATCTCCACGTGGGTGCTGCCGGGGCTTCAGCACTTGTTTTGTCAGGGCCGACGCCTGCAAGTTTGCTATTCAGGGCCGTGACGGTTGCGCGGCCTGCGGAATGAAGTCTTAGGTCGTGTGTCGGGTCTCTCAGGAAGTTGAGATATACATGCGGGACATAGAGATCGCACCCCCAGAACGTCATAAAGCATTAACAGCGGTGGCAATACAAAGCACCCAGTAATTGCCACTACAGTAGTCTTGGAGAGACACAACTCAGAATGGTCAGTTCGCTGCGAGAGAACAGAACCACAGGGCAGTTTGAATACAGAGGCAAGAAGACGAAGTGTGGGTCAAGAAGGTGAAGATGGCAATGATCTGGATCATGGTCATAGCTTCAACACAGCACTACCTTCAAGACTACTCCCATAGCTAGCTAGATCAAACCACTACCTTCGGGTGAGCTCGTGGCATGTTTGGGTTTTGGATGTCGTGCGAGCTGAAATGTTGATGGGTTTCTTCATCGGTTTACTTGATCTGGCGGCCGAAAACACAATCAAGCCGCCTACGTACATTTGTGAGTCAGCTGTGCTGGGCTCCGATGATGACCACTACACAGACGTTTTTTCGGCTCATCAGAGCGGCCAAGCCCTCAGCCCACAGAAGCTTGATTGAGCAATATTTACCTGCACCCCGAGCCCTAGCCCTCATCCGTAGCCATGCAAGAGGGGAAAAAATCCCTAGAACCCAACCCCGAAAGAAACTGCTTGAAGCTAGACACTCCTAGCGGTCCTGCGGATGCGCCCGCCGCCTGCGCCGCCACAGCGAGAGCCATGCGCGCCGAGCTCGCGGAGCGCGATCCGTGGCTCGGATCAGCGAAGACATGAGTGTTCTCCGGTCTTGCAAAGTGTGGAGGCAGAGTATACACGACTCCAACCCCTTCAAGAGCATGTACTGAACCCACACAGCTGAGCAGCCAGGTTGGTGGCTCGAGTTGCAAGCGCACAAAGGCAGCGACAGCAGGCCGTTCGAGCTGAAGAAATATTAGTCATCAGTGTAGAGAGCTAGGCTAGGCACGATGCTGAGGATAATAATGCTGCTAACAGTGCATGCATGCTACACATTATTTTCAGCGTTTATCATAACCTGATGACGACACGTCGTAGCCGTAGTCGTAGTGGCAATGGCAGCTGCATTCGGAGCAGCAGCAGCAGCAGGAGGAGGAGGAGGAGGAGGAGTAGTTGTAGTAGCAGCAGCAACAGCATGGATAGCAGGAGGAATAGCAGCAGCATCAGCAGCGGCATCAGTACTGTTACTAGTGCTTGTGGTAGTGGTAGTTGCAGCGGTAGTGGTAGTGGTAGTCTGTTCGTCGTAGTGGCGGAATGGTCGTCGTAGCAGTCGTAGTAGCAGAAATGAGGAATGGCTGTTTGTTATATGTGTGTGTGCGTATAAAAAAAGATATGTGTGTGTGTGTGCATGCATACATGCACACGTACACACACACACATACACACACACATACATACATACATACATACATACATACATGCAGGCCCATCGTGGCATCAAGCAAGTGCGAAGTGCCCCGGTTAGCTGTTGCGGGGTTCGTTAGGGTTATTTGAGCAGCGACTCCTTTTTCTACAGCCGTGTCGCTGTCGGATGACAGATTCAGATCCACTGCATGCCACAGCATCACAAAGAGACTCGCACAGCCCACGCCTGGGCCATATACACTCAACGGCACAGAGACATGAACCACGCTTATCAATGCTTCGGCAACCCAGAAACCATGTAATTAGGTGTTGAGCCTCAACAAGCCTCCCTTCAGGCGTGCTGGCAGCGCAGCGCGGTTGTCCCTTGGTCCGAACCAGTTGCAAGGTGTTTGTTTCGTATTAATGCCACTTAGGACGTAGAGGTTTCACGACTTTTGATCCCAGTAGATTCCGAAGAGCCTCCATCCGACCTTCGAGCTTTGGGGGTCCAGCGTGTACCCCTTTCGACAAAACTTGACTCTGCCATACCTTCACCCCCAACCAAACCCACAATTGGAGGATTTTGCTACTACCGTACATATCAAAAAGTGTATCTGTAAATATATCTACTACATTATTCTGAGCATTTATGTTATGTACATATACATCTAGGGATGAAAAGATGATGCATATGATGCTCTATGCTGTTTAGCCCTATGTACACCGAGGCCCTTAGCCTGGCTTTCCTCCTCGTCTCCGGGTTGTTCCTCCTCCCGGCGCCTCCGCCGCTGCAAAGGCCGCAAGGGGCCTACGAAACCAAGTTGAGGATTCTTTAAACTTCTGTCTAGTAGGGAGGGTTTCGGGGTTTTGAAGTTGCGTGATTTGGGATTCATTCGGGGTTGCTGGGCTTGAAAAAGCTTAGGGTTCAGGAGCCGGGATCCGCTCGACATAAAACAAGCTTCATGGGGCGGCCAGGGGGTTAATGCACAGCACACTCGTATCGGCTCACATGCGAGGCTTCTTAGGAACAACAGTCCTGTTGTCACGAGCGGTTTTCGGTACGAGCTTCCTCTCTGAAGTTAGAGGCCTTTTAAACTCTTGGGAGTTTACAGTTACAGATTGATTTCAATGGTGAGGAGTTTCGAACTTTGGTGCCTCAGTTGTTGAAGGATCCTGGAGATTCCAGAATCCTCGAGAAGATGGGCTCCGTAAATTAGGGACTTTGGAGCGTGTGAGGCATCATGGAAGCCGTGATGGATTGAATAAAGGCCTTACAGCATCTCTCTAAAAATCTCACTACAGAAGGATTCTTGATTAAAGAGGTTCTAGATGTTCTAGAAATAGATGTGCATGGGGTAGGATTCGTGTTTGGAGCTTAGGATGCAGGGTGCCATTAGAGGCCGAGAAGCAAGCCTCAAGGTTTGGGAAATATAAACGGGGTGCGAGTGATATGGAAAGGGCCGGAGAAGTTTGCCGAAGTGCCTGCAGGTCTTGTCAGCGGGGCAGGCATGGCTGCAGAGCCTAGCTTCAACAAAAGCTTTCAAGCAGATACTGGCTTTCAGAAAAACAACTTAACGGTACAAACAAGCTAACAAGATCGAAAACAAACGGCACCACTGCATGTATGAACAAATTATCGCTGAGCTTTTCTGCAGGAGCTCTTGGCAATCGGCGGGCATTCACTCTACAGGGCCTGCGGCGAAAACGAGCGACATCCAGGCTCCAGAATTTCGGCTTTAAGTTCCATGCTGCATGATTCTGTGAACATGAAAGTATTTTTTGCTGAGGTGCTTTGCCACCTTGAGATGCAGCGGCTTGTGATTTCGTGTAGCAAGCCCGGGTTTGCAAAGCAACCTCTGGCTGAGCTTAAATTTTCGGCAGCAAATTATGCATACCCCGTGCAGGTGGAAGTGCTGGCTAGCCGGCCGTTTGCATCCTTGCCGGGGCCACCAACCGGGATTTTGCGAGATTTGCAAGGGCCTCCACCAGGACCTCCAGGAGGGCCTACATCAACACCGACACCAGGGCCAACAACACCAGGACCTCCAGGAGGGCCCACAACAACACCCATGCCAGGGCCCACAACAACACCGACACCAGGGCCTACAACAACAGGACCACCAGGACCCACTTCCACACCTCCACCAGGAGCACCCGGAGGACCAGGAGGACCCACAACACCACCAGGAGGAGGACCACCGGGAGGACCACCGCCAGGACCACCAGGGACTCGCCCAACTCCGGGCTGTCCAGCTTTGTGCGGCCAGACCTTTGCTTGCATCGTCTCGCCTCCGACGCTTCTCTCAGATACTGTCAAGTCTTGTCACACTCGTTGCATGCCTGGTGGCGGGATGGTGATCCTCAGCCAAGGCTGACCAAGGCGGACACTAGCGCGCGCCCACAATGGACACCTGGTACGAACATAGCACCAGGAGGAGGATTGCCCCTTGCTCGCATTGACGCGGTTTCTTACACTCCCCTAAGACAATACCAGACATCTTTGACCCCCAAAGCGACAAGTCAGTGGAATTTTCTGCAGGAAAACTATTTCATGACCCACCGTATAGTTACCTCGGCAAGGTTCAGGATCTTTGCAGCAGACGTTCATGGGCACTTGTGACCAAAGGCTTGAAGCCGATACTGCACATGGCAGCCCCTGCCCGGAAACGAGATGACAATAGGGGACAGTCTGCGAGACTCTACTGTCAGCCATTGCCACCTAGGAGACCCAAACGCATTCAATGTTTCCAGAAGCCGTGACACAAACACCAAACAGTCGTCAGACGCATCACGAGAACATTTGACTTAATTCAACTCACAGTGGCGGTAACTGCAGCCGCTGCCCACATGTCAGAAATCCAGAGAGCTTTATGCTTCATAATAGTGGCCGACCCGCCAAAACTTGACATCAGATGCAAGCGTCCGTACTTGGAAGGCCATGCTGTTAATGCTCAGTCTGCTGAATGTTAGGATGCATCTCCACGCTATCGGACCCTAAGACCGCAGCGATTCCGAGGCCGCTGATCAATGTCGCCGCCCTGAATCTGCGTGGACTCGAGGACCGTACATGGGACGTGGCCTAGCAAAACACAGATCATGCACGACAGAAGCGGAACCAACATGCATGACTTCTCACACCAAAGATTTTTGTGGGTGTGCGCACTCATGCCGGATTTAGCCATGGAGAAGGCTAGAAAACCGGCCCGGAGCATAAAGCCCATCACACGAACCAAGCGTCGCCCCTGTGTCTGCGAGTACAGAACTGTTTGGCATCCACAGCAGACCCTTCGCACTTTGTTCAAGAAGAGGTTCGAATGCAGCTTCAGATGGAATGCCTTCCAAGCCTCTCATCCTTTGCAACATCAAGGTCGAATGGACTTCTGTGCTCTTCAAGCCAACAGCCGATGCCTCAGTGGCTGCCATGAATCGTGAATTAAATATGTAATTACTCCTGCTGCTAAAGTTTGTAATCAGTACTGTATTCGTACTTGAACGGCATTTGGCTGACAGTAGATTGAGTGATGTCCGGCATCGGTTTTGCCGTGGTACTACTTGTCAGTGGATCACGCGCTAATTGTCAGGAAACTCTCATCACGTTGCCAAGCGACTCGCTCGATGCAGCAGGCAACAAAACCGTATTTCCTCAACCCTAGAGGGACGCAGCACCGCACCTCACAAGGGCCTACTTACAGTGAAAGTTCAAGCCTTAAGCAGGATGTTTTCTCTTTATGAAGTTATGGTGCGATGTGTTATTGTGGATTGTATATAAGGGTTGTTGCAAGGCGGTTGCTCTGTGCCAGTGCCATGCGGCTCAGCACGTCTCTCATGTTTGCCCCGGTATGCCAAACTCGCTCGGAGCTGTAGCCGTCTCGCTCTGTCTACCTTGTCTCTTTTATGAAAAAATACAGAATTCCAACGTGCGTTTCGCACCTAACTTGTTATGGCGGACAACGAAAGTATTGATATATCCGGCACATGAAGGATAAGAAACGGCTTGCACGGCTAGAGCGCAAAGCTTTGCATGGCTAACTTGACAGCTCTGCGGCGAAGACGAGCAGCACTGCATGATTTCCCCTGACCTTTTGCGGTCTCTTCCAGTGGACCCTGCAATCTGGGACTCCTGTTCCAAAGAGTCTTCGAATCTCCGAGACCTTGGGCTACCGCATTGCGGCGGGCACTCCCTTCGATACCGGCCCCACGGCAAGAGCCAAGGGTTGGGTTTTGAGTAGCTTTCATCCATGGCGATTTGGAGGGTTGGTTCTGTGGTTCTGTTCCAATTAGGGCTTTGGGAACTTTCCGGGTTTTAGGAGGTTTGGGACGTCCGGCATGTTCGGGCTCTCCGTTTTGGTTTTTGAAAATGCGCCTTTGCAAAAGATGTGTATTGAGGTTTGTATTGCTTTCGCTATTGAAAGAATCAAGAGACCTAGTAGGTAGAGTTGAAAGTGCCCCAAGTTCAATTGGGCTATAGGCAGTCAATACCTAAATCTTGTGACCTGGCTTATCACACAACTTACTAAGTCACTCGACCGTCAAAAATAAGCGGGAGCTCATTGAACAAACCCCCCTTGTAGCCTCAAGTTGCGCTTAGGCCTTGGGCGTTTGGGAGGGCCCCTTTTCCTGTAGAGCATCAAGCTGAAGCGTGCGCAAGGTTGAAGGCGGTGTCGGCCGGGTTTAGAAGACGGCAGAGTTCAGGGATGTTCGGGGTTTGGCCCCGAAGCCCGTCCATGAGCCCCCAACCTCCTAAACCCCAAGTCTCTGAGGCAGGACCCTATAAGATAGACTTTAAACCCTACGCCCCAGGGCCCTAGACCCCCAAGCCTTCAAGTGGCTTGGATGCTCGGCCAAGGCCCGGGCCTGATATTTCCCAGCAACACAACGCTGACACATCGGTGCCTGGCTGAAACTGAACCACTATATGTCCGGGAAGGAGGGAATTCGTAAGTAGGTTTGTGAACTGTGTTGTTGCTCTTCCTCGCTGGTTCGATTCACGTCTTCGTCTTCTCAGTTCTTGGCTTGGCTTGGTTTTTCACCTTAAGCTTCTGTGGTCATCGTCATGGAAAGATGTTTTGTTGACGTGCTTTTGTACCTGCATGTAGACGTTGTGTTAAAGGCACACCGGTTGTTTTCAAGAACACAGACTGCCGCACAAATCTTAAACGCAGAGATCTGAACTGCTCGGTGATACTGTTGTGAAAGGTTTACATGATATACGTGTTTTCGGCAGGTGCGTGAGGATGCCTAGTCATCACAACATAAACGTCGCCACGTCACTTGCAAGAAGTTCTTGAGCCCGGAGGTTCAAGGGGAACAGAAGTTCTCTGTTTCAACTTCGCGAAGGGCCTGCCGCTGGGATCAGAAGTGGGGGGTTTGTTCTTAAGTCAGGGTTTTTGTGCCAGCATTCAGGTACCCATGCATTAAGAATTCACGTGCCAGCAAGAGGTGTGAAGACAAGGCTGAGCTTCCGCCCGGTGGTTCGAAAATTCTTTTGGGATTCTCATCTTTGTACAATCCTTATGCCAGCTGCTGCAAGCAAAGTTTCTGCTTTCCCTAGCGCCGAAGACCGTCTTGGCACAAGTTGTGTGAGCATACTCAGCCACTGGAGTGACTTGATGTGACTTACGAGGGGCCCGCTACGAACACCAGCATCCGGCTCAGCTTCACCACCTTCTTTCAAGACACCCTGACGGTCTACGAGATGGGGTGCCTTTGATGCAATCACAGAAGTTGGCTACCCGAAGTTGGAAGAATCCAGTGGGTCGCTGACCAGCCGTAAACCCAGCACTGCATGCTCCGCAACCCTGAGCCAAAAAAGCAGAGCTCTCCTCCTCCCATATTGATGTGGTTCCAGATCATGGTGCTTCTAAGACTATGGGCCCTCGATTTCGCAGACTCCTCCTTCTCACGGTGCCAAGAAGGGCTCACAGTCCTATAACTACTATAACACTGTTGCTGTACTTCAGGAGCTATTATGACAAGGAAATTTCAAGATATCGCAGCGCTAATTTACAAGCCCGGTTACGGCGGATGGACAGACAGACATATGATATGCTGTATATTACTGCAGGTCATCAGAACCAAAAGCATCAAGATCACCCCTCACCCCCAAAAAAAAGACAGAGAGAGAGAGACAGCTCTCTCTCTCTCTCTCTCTCTGTCTCTGTTGCTTTTATCGTGGTACTGTCCTGTCCCGCTGGGAGTGCGAACCCGCATGCACGTCCGACTTGCAGATGATACATCTTCGAAACGGGGGATATCTGGTGCTGTTTACTCTAGGAACCTGATTCCCTCCGAAGGTGTAGCAGTAATTCAGGCATCCCAAAGATAACGCTGTGTTTGAGCATCGGGGGAACGTTCCTTACAAATATCTGGTAAACTCCCCGATACTTGAACAAACCTTTCACACACACCCGAAAGCCCCATAACACATGGGGGGCCAATAGGCCGGAGGGTTTGACACGCCCCCTATGCCCTGGGGAAGAAGAGAGAGAGAGAGAGAGACACACCCCAAAATGGGGGAGCCAAAGACGCTGGACGCAAACCGTTGTGGGGTAGGCCTTCGGGCCAGGGGTTTCGGCCCCATACCCCTAGCAAGCAAGCAAGCAAGCAAGAGAGAGAGAGCGCGAATCGTTATCTGTGCTGGCATGAACCAAGGCCATTGTTTCAAAAGAAGAGCGACAGGGACAGAGACCGGACGAGGGTAGCATGCCGATGGATATCGAAAGCCCTGCTACCTTTGACCTTACTTTCTTGTTCTCTGCTGCTGTTACCTAGAAGGAGAGACAGAGACAGACCCTGCGAAAGCCCAGGTCCCTGGACCCGACGTTCCAGCTCAAGATCGCGGGGCACTCGGAAGTGTTGTTTCGCTTTTGGTTTCCTGCAATGGGGCTTCGGATCTGAAAGGTAAGGGCCGTCAGGGTTTAAGGGAATTTCGGGCCATGGGGTGGACAATTGTGGAAAAGTAGGTTTGGTTGTTTAGGACTCAGCTTGTGATTGTCCCTATCAGGTGGGGATGATTTCATTTTGGATTTTGCCACTTGCCATCACCAATGATGCTGTACTACTCATTGCGCGCATTTCGCTTGCAATAGTTGCTGGATTCTCGGCACAGAAGGTTCAAAAAAAAAATGGCAGCAGAGCAGCTGAAAGACTCCAGGCATCAGGGTCATCAACCATTTGTTGTTTTCGACAGGGCATGCCCCATTTTGTCCCCCCAATCGTAGCAGCTCCTGATTCAGAACCCCTAAAGCCGACTGGCACATGTAACATCACAAAACAGAGAAGCACTGCTACTTTTTTTTTGCTTTCGCTGTTCTCCCAGCCTTTTGGCGAAGACAGTCTCAAACATTGCCATAGAATGGCTTGAACCCGATTGAGCATCCTGTCAGTTGGGAGCCTCGGATCCGTTGCCGGCACTACCTCCGGCGGAAAGCATCAGTGAAGCTGGGCACATTTGCTGGGGGGCTGTTGGTCTAGGGTGGGGCAAACATGGACAGCATGACTGCGAACGTTGATAACTGCCAACAATACGACCATTCGTGAACTTCGGTCTAGTCATAATAGACTAGAAAAGACGTTAGCAATAAGGCGAACAAGAGTACGAACCATGTTGATAGGTCTTGCCAATAGTTCTAGTACTAGTGTAGCACGTAAGGCGGGAAGTCCAACAATACTGCTTTCTGTGATCGTGAGAATCGCAGTTTGATGCAAAGCTTCGGTTTCTTGATTTCTGCTGCGGCATTCTGGTTTAGGGTAGTTTAAGGTTCCAGTTCAAAGGATTTCGGTTAGGGTGTTTGGCTTGGTGTCTCGACCCTGAAAGGTTGAAGCATGCTGGAAAGCTTCGGAGGTTCAGACGTCGAAGATGCTAAGATCCATTGATCCTGAGGTTCCCAGCACAACAGCCTCACACACAGCATCTGCATGCTCAAAGCCTGAGCCCCCGATCATTGCACCGGGACGAGCTGCCCAGGAAGTCTTCACATGCAACGATGGATGCCAAATCCCGGAGGTGGCTTGGTTTCGAGCCTGCAGGGCTCCCGAAGCTCCGTTGGTTATTGTCAAGGCTGAAACTTCGCCAGCAACGCACTTTCCAATTTGTTCAGTCATGCTTTTTAGGTGGGCTAGGAGCTTTTCGGTCGTGCCAGCATCGGGAGTCATCCTCTGATCCTCGTCAAAGACCAATTGCAGAAAAACCCTTGACTAAAGACAAGGGGCTTTGGGCTTGCGGCTTGGCTTCTGTCGGCTTGGATCTACACCTCGCAGGTCTACGTGAACGATTCATTTTGTGGCCGGGCTGCAGCATGCCCGTTCAAGCCAATCCCTTGACAGATGATTGCCTGTGATTTACCTGCATCCTCTCCCTGACTTTGCCTTGCATGGGATCGCTCACGGCTCCGAGTGACCAAGGCGACTGCCCCCTAGAATGCGAAGACGAGGCATTCTGGACCTGTGAGTGGCTTGCCTGTCATGAGCATGGAGTGGTGCGAAGTGCCTTCGTAGAGTGGTGTGAGATGGTTTGCGAGACTATGTGGCACCTGACACGCGAGCATGCTGTGTGTGCTCCTTTCTAGGATGAGGTGACGATTGTGCGGTTGAGGGACGGGTTCCACCTGAGAGAAAGATGAGGCAATTCCGCATGGTGAGGTAGCTTCAGTTTCTGCTCGTCTGGTCACTTTGATTATTGCCCAGGCAGTGCGTCGTCGATGTCGAGGAGCTCGGGATGGGTCTAGGTGTGGCCACAGTTGCCTTCGCTGTGGGAGTGCCTTGACTTGCAACATGTTAGAGTCTGGCAAAAGATGCCGAGGGACATGATGGCAGTGATGATCCTGATGCTATCAGCAATTGGTGATCATCCTCAAAACCGTGTCAACTGCTTGGCGACCCTGGAAAGCACACGGAACTGTAGTAACAAGCCTTGAGACGAGTGGCCGAGGTTTCCTCCGCAACAGGTGCGTTTCAGTATGATTGTGTCTGACAACATTGAGCGATCTCCTGCACAACGAGGGCTGGCTGATAGCCGAAGGTCCGTAGGGAGGCAAAGGCAAATAGCAAAGGCTTGTACTCACACGTTTTGAGTACTTCATACACTTACCGTCACTCTGTGCTAAAAACACCACCCATACTAAGCTTGGCGGTGGCCTTCCACCTTCTGTGGGTGCTGGCGCAGCTGCTGGCGGGGGAGCGGCTGCTGGTGCAGCTGCCGGCGGTGCAGGCGGTGCAGCGGGTGGTGCCGGAGGCAAGACTAGACTACATGTATCACTGCTTCCTGAGAAATGATTGCAAGCGGGGTAGAGGGCTGGATGATGCGAAATGCCACAACCATTCCAGCCCTCAAGAATGATGGCAAAAGGCCACATGGGTCGTGTTCCAATGTGATGCATTGGACTTGTTCAGGGATTCCCAAGGAAATGATTGCAACGGGGGAGGGCTAAGCCTCCTTCCACCATTACCATGTAACTAGGGAACCTCACCTGGCATGTGGGATTGACTAAAGTTCAATGCAGGATGCAAAGCAACCGACCCCAAACCCTCCAAAGTCTCCGCGGTGGATAGATCAGCCAGGGAAGGTCGGCGTGTGATCGCGATGTCTTTGGACAAGTGGACGTCATAGGGCGCTCATGCAAACAGCTGCGAAATTGCTTGCATGCATCCCTGCAATCAATGGCTGCAGGTGCTGCTGGTGGTGCTGGCGGAGGTGCTGGAGGAGGCGCCGGTGGAGGCGCCGGTGGAGGTGCTGGTGGAGGTGCTGGTGGAGCTGGCGGAACAGCTGGCGGTGGCTCTGGGAGCTCTGGCAGCGCAGGTGCTGCAGGGGCGGCCTCAACAGCTGCAGCTGCCTTCGTGTCATCGGGAGATCTTACAATTGAAGCTCCACAGCAAGTGATGGAATCGGCACAGTTCCAGTCCGCCGTGCAGAGAGCGATCGCACGCCTGGCGGGAAATATCGCGGCAGCGGCTGTGGAGCTTATAATTGGCTGCCTGGTGGGGCGACGGCTGGTTGTCTCGACAACGATCGATGTTTGTTTTCAGATCCAGTCTGATAACCGTGAAGTCAGCGAAGAGATTTGCAGAAGGCTAAGCTATGTCCAACGACAGGATGTGCAGCGTGTTATTGCCTCTGAGCTCTTGAGCTCCACCATCAATCCTGATCAAGTTCGCGTCGTCTATTACCGGGCAAACCGGAATCCACAGGCGCCGACAAATCCAAATGCTGGACCCATTGCGAATCCCTACCAGCCTGGTGGCGGAGCCATCAACCTCGGCTGAGTCATCTTGATCGTTTTTGCCTTGCTTCCTGCCTAGTTCCAAAGAGTCCTAGGCAGGGGCGGCAGCCGAAGCCCCAGACCTAAACCCCTTAAAAAGCCCTCAAACCCATTAAAACCCTACACAGATGTTTCACAGAACCGCACGTGTCGAAAGCACCCGTGCAGTTCCGAGACCCATGGCTCGGTCGGTGCTTGCAACAGCGCGACCCTAGCAAAATCTGACTGTAGTGAATCGAGGCGCTGCGGTGATTGGGATAGGCAGGATCTTCAAATTGCAGATGAGTTTAGCCGTCAGGCCTTTCGTCATGCAACGTTGACGCACGGGAAGGCTGAAGGATCCAAGAATCCCGGATATTCAGTATACTTTCTTCCTTCTTTATGAGGCTGTTCGTCTCGGGGGCCTACGTGCTGCACCACAACTGAATGGACAGCCTGGTGCCCGGTAAGAAGCTGTGGGCGGAAGAGAGGCTTAATGTTGCGCTCTTTCTTAAAACCTCACCCCGCTTCGCTTGAATTGAAGCCCCGACTCTGCGAATCTGCATGGGAGGGTTAAGGCAGTCCGCATAGCTCTCACGTGCTCTCTCTCTCTCTCTCTCTCTCCCTCTCTGCAGTGCTGCAGCAGTCCCACTTGCAAACTCTCTCGCTGCTCAACACGTGGGAATGCCTGAGATTGAAACAGCAACGTCTCGAACGTGCCAATAGTGAGTGGGGGCTGGGGATGGATGATGCTGGGGGCATGGGCTGAGGCCTTAGCCTCGAACACCCTGCAAGCTAATGACGTTGACGTGTGAGGGCTCCATCATGCATTCTTGCAAAGCCGCGGGCCAAAACCAACAACTGTCACTGGGAGTCCGGTTCCAAGACCCCCCTCCTTGTCACTGTCTGATTTTGAAGCGAATTGAACAAAGCGTCCTGGGCCTCGACTAGATGAACGAATCGCTTTCCAGTTGAGTTCGGTTCACGCACAAGACTTGTTATTTCTGGCAACAGGTCGCAGGGTCGTGTTCTGGCAGCCAGCATGCTCAGTTTCAAAAGGGTTCGATCCTCTGCGCGTGTCGCTGCAGCCCGAGTGCACATGCCCGTGCGTTCCTGGCTCCGCCGTGCAGAAAGCTGCTGCGGGCCTATTATGATTTTAAGAATTTAAGGTTTCTAGTCGGGTCTCGTTTTTTGGCACCTTTGCGGGGAAGAGCAAACATTTGCAGGCGCGGCGTCTTGAAGCTGTGGGCGAGGGGCCAAGGTTTTTGCAGGGTTTGGTAAGCGAACCTGGCGAAGCGTGAAATGAAGAATTCAGTCTGCTTTTGCAATGCCTGCTTTCCGTATACCTCTTCCGGATCCTGTCAGGCTTTGTGAATTCAGTTTTGCGTCAGCAAGAGCATACATTTGCTTCTGTCACGGTCCCGGTGCTAAAGAAGAAGCTTCTTGGAACGGTTGCAAGGATCCTTCTGCCCGCCGGTGGAAGGTGCATCGTCTGAAGCACTATGTATCTCATGGAGTTGTTCGTGGGTAACTGGCTGCACCGACGTGCCAACAGTTGCTGTGAAAGTCTTTGCTGACCCATGGTCACTTTGAAGCCTTGAAGTCATAGCCCAACAAAGCCAACAGTGCACCAAGCAGAAACCACATGCAATGACATACTATTAAGGAGTACTATGACGCGGGAAGGATGGTAGTGCCAATGCTCGTGGTAGTAGTAGTAGTAGTAGTAGTAGTAGAACTAGTAGTAGCAGTAGTAGTAGTAGTCGTCGTCGTCGTCGTCGTCCGTAGTACGTAGTACGTAGTATGTAGTAGTCGTCGTAGTCGTCGTCGTAGTAGTAGTAGTAGTAGCAGCAGCAGAAGAAGAAGCAGTAGTAGTAGTAGTAGTAGTAGTAGTAGCAGTAGCAGTAGTAGCAGTAGCAGTAGTAGCAGTAGTAGCAGTAGTAGCAGTAGTAGTAGAAGCAGCAGTAGCAGCAGTAGTAGCAGTAGTAGTAGTAGTAGTAGTAGCAGTAGCAGTAGTAGTAGTAGTAGTTGTTGTTGTTGTTGTAGTTGTAGTTGTAGTTGTTGTTGTAGTAGTAGTAGTAGTGGTTGTAGTAGTAGTAGTAGTAGTAGTAGTAGTAGTGGTAGTAGGAGTAGCAGCAGCAGCAGCAGCAGCATCAGAAGTCTACTACTACTACTACTACTACCACTCCTACTACTACTACTACTACTACCACTACTACTACTACTACTTCTACTACTACTACTACTTCTTCTTCTTCTTCCACTTCTACTTCTACTTCTACTATTACTACTACTACTACTACTACTACCACTACTACTACAACGACGACGACTACTACTACTACTACTACTACTGCTACTACTACGACTACGACGACGACGACGACTACTACTACGACTACGACGACGACGACGACTACTACTACTACTATTCGTACTTACTATTACTACTATTTCTACTAACTACTACGACGACTACGACATAGTCGATGACGACTACTACTGCTGCTTCTACTGCTACGGCTACTGCTGTCGAGGACAATGCTGAAGCGGATCCCGGAAAACTTTCGCCGAAATATTGGTTGCTGCAGTACAGATGCAGCAAATGTTACACAAACTCTACGAAAGTGAGTATTCGAGACCCTGGGAAGAGGCTTATGCAGCCTCTACAACTCCCAAGCCTCTACTGGGGCGTTGGACTTGAAATTGTCAAAGCCCAAGCCCGGCCCCCTGCTGCTTTGAAGCAGGTGCGGCTAATATCCACAGGCGAGATCAAGCCAAGGGCTCACTTGTCGGAGGATTCAGTTGGGGGTTCAGGGCTTCTAGTCCCCTGCTACTAGTAACGCCTGCTACTGCTGCTGCTCATGCTGCTACAACAGCTACAATGTAGTGCTGCTATTGCTACTACCGTTAGATACTACTGTTACTGTGGTAATTGCCTTGGCGCTGGTGCAAGTCACAGTCTTTGGTTGTCCTGCTGGCCAGCCCTGCATGCTCATAATCAAGCTGACTCCGTTCCAGTGGTGCTCATTGTGTTGGCCACGGCGACAGTCGCACCAACGAACATGCTGGTCATGTTTGTGGTCAACATTGGCCACCACCACTGCGAGCATCGTCCTGACTATGTCTTTAACTCTGCTGTTTTTTATGCCGAGGTCCGTGAAGCCAGAAAACCTGGCCATGGAGGAGGAGCCTGTGGCGAGCAGAGGCTGCAGGGCTCTTGGGTCGTTGGCTTTTGAGTTGGAGGTCTCGGGCTGTGCTTGCATGGGTTGTAGCGCCCGCCTTCTCTAAAGTGTCAGTGTGTTCATGGGCGTGCCGTGTCCAAGGTTTGAAGTCGACATCGGCATAGTAAAAGGGTGTTCTGGTGCCGCCAGGGCCGCCAGGACCGAGCGCAAACGGTACCGCAGGGGTCCCAGGCTCAGACGGTGCAGGCATCGATGGAAGAAGTTGAGGAGCAGGCGACGTTTCATGGGAGAACAATTTGGCTTGAAACCCTGGCAAGGGATGGCTCATGTCTAGGAGTGCCGTCTGCAATATACAATTAGGACCGCGCATGGTTGTTCCATAAGTCCACGTCTCCGCAAACTGCTCCATGCGCATACTCACACGGCTCAGAGCAGGTGATGGTATGAGACATGGTGCCTGCACCAGAACCGGGCACTGTTTTCCTGCACAAGCCAGGTCCGAGCAACTGAAGCAGAGCAGACCAAAACACATATGGAGAAGGTGTTACGGTAGACATTGCTCCTGTGAAAATATCTCCTTGCCCGGACAAGAAAACAGTAAGACAACCACTGCTCGCAGAGCATGAGTCGGCATGGAGTCTCAATCGTTGCTGGGGACATTGCTGGAGCTCGACGAAGGCGTCAGCGCAGTCCGGGCATGGAACCTTAGGCACTTGTCGAAGCGCTTGCGGAAAACTGACTGAAGCTCCTCGATGGAAGAACAGCAAGACAAGAAGAACAGTCTTGAGTCTGAGTTCCTTGGCCTAAAGCGAGGCCATTGCTCCCTCCCCCCCTCTCTCTCTCCCGCTCTCTCTCTCCCTCTCTCTCTCTCTCTCTCTCTCTCTCTCTTCCTCTCCCTCCCTTCACGTTTCCAGCGCCCCCTGCTTCCTTGAGCAGGAGATGCTCCAGGTCGCACAGCTTCGGCAGAGCGAGGTAGGGCACGAGCCAATCTGTATCGGCTTGAAGTTTTGGGGTTCACGCTGTTAATTATGACTTGTCCCGTGCAGTTCTTGAGCTGGAACGGCGTACCAATGCTGGCTGCAAAGCTTGCACTGTAAAGGCTTTCATGTGATGCCATGCTTGAGCTGGCGGCTGGCGCTACAAGACACGCTCACTTTGGCATAGTCTACGTAATTCCAGTTTATGCATGCTGACTACTCCAGCCGAGCTTGGGCACTCCACGGAAAGCGTAGTTGACGCTGTTACCCGTTTGCAGGCAGCACGGCAGCCTCTGCGGGAGTGCGAAGTTTAGCAGACACTTTGGCGACTTCTCTGCAGCTTCGATGAGGGTTTGCCTCGACACCACGTCACCTCAACCCTCAACTAGTAACTAGTGCTCTCGCGGAGTCCAAACACCATGAGCCCAAGGATGATTGGGACAACAGTGAGGACCGCCAAGAAGTGAAACGGCGCCAGACAAGAAGTGGAACGCCGCTTGGCAAGATTTTTTTAGGATCGGAGGTGCAAGTGTCTGGTTTTGGGTCAAGTACGGAGCTTTATGCGAGGCTGGTTTGAGGCTTTACCAGAGCAGGCGAACCTGTCGTGGCAGACTCTCCATATTGACCGGGTTTCTTGGCATGCCATGCAAGGCTGGCAAGTCGCTGAAAGGCCTGTTGTAAGCACACGACATCTGAATAACTCTGCTCCTGTCATCGCATCGGCCCGCATTCGCCGTAGTCAGGCATCAGGCTACTCAAACCACCCACCGGTGCATCATTGCATAGCAGAAATACATGCATGCATACATACATACATACATACACACGTACTCGTCCATACACCTGTTTGCTTGTTTGCCTAC